GTAGTAACTGCCGCCCATTGCACTGAAGGGTATGTCGTTTGTAATTATATTTTATAAAAATATTTCTAATTATAAGTTCACTTAAAGCTTGACAGCGAGTGAACTGAGAGTACAGTACGGAGGTCTGGACCGGACTAACCTGGCTTATACCAACCTAGTGACAACTATATACCAACACTCCCAGTACAACATACCGGCCAAATCGCATGACTACGACTACACTGTACTCCGACTCCAGGATAAGATCCAGACGGCAGCCAATGTCAAGACCATTGAGTTGATCGACGCGTCACCGGCGGCCGGATCTAAGGCTCAGTTGACTGGTTGGGGGCTGACTGTCGGCAACAACCAGAACTCATCGCCCGCTAAACTACAGTACGCGGAGTTCAGTATAATTACTCGCGAGGAATGCCAACGAAGAAGTAATAATGTCTTCACAGAACCGCCGACAATCACCACAAGAATGGTTTGCGCCGAGAATAAGGCCGCTTCCGGTTGTAATGTATGTCCACTCCTATGACTATATTAATCATTGAATGCATTGATAACTATATATTCGTGTTGATTAATAATAGGGTGATTCCGGTGGACCCCTAGTAGTCGGTGGCAAACTGGCGGGCATAGTCTCGTGGGGCGCCGGCGGTTGTCCCACTGACACCACAATATACCCCACAGCCTATGCAGATGTGGGCACTCTGAGGACATGGCTGCTGTCAAATATAGTCTAAATCGGATGCAAATGGAAATCAACGGCTTATTAACGGACCATTCAATTGAAACAATCGCTTATTAATTAATAACTTTATTTATGAAACCAAACATACATTATAATTATAATTATAATCTTATTTTGTCTTTCAATAAAACTGCATATTCATAAAATTCAAACCGACAACAGTTATTATAACATAAAACAGATAATATATTTCATGATTTCATGCAAATTGATTTGTTTTTATATTTTATTTGATGTATTTTTCAAAATCAAATACCACTTTGCAGTAGTGAATTAAACCATCAAAACTATTAAACTAATTATATACAATAATTGGATCAATTTATGGTATCAATCAATTTAATATTCTGTACGATAGGGACTAACGAATATAATACTGTATATAGAAATCATAAAAGGTATTCGAGAAAGTCATTTTCTACTTGTACAAAGTTTAAAATGTAAATCTACTGGAAATTTGCTTACTGATTCAGTAATACCTTATAATTCAATCTTATACCTAACATAATACAGTATTCAATTTATTATATTTAAAACAATATTCAATCAGTGTTAGGCCCGAAGTGTACGCCACTCGCAGTATATTATAGCATAATAGTAGACCCCTTGGGTTGACCACCAAATGAGACATTTATTTGGGATTTATGAACACGTTTTGTAAAGTTTTATGTGTTTATCATTTATATTTACTAGTTAGTAAGTTAAGTATGGTATGTTATCAATGTAGTTTAATATGCATGCTACATGTTCGTACTTATTAATAGGCTAGTGATTAGTGTTAAAATGTAGTTTTCAATTATGATTTTTATTTTTAAATGTTTGTAAAAGTTAGATAAGAGCTTGTATTTGAGTTTGAAGTGGTATAATGTAAGCATAACATATAAGTTAACAAAAAAGTAAAAATAAATTACAAAAAAAGTCTACGACACCCGGTATTCCCAGGTGGTCTCCCTCCCAAGTACTAACCGGGCTCGACGCTGCTTAACTTCGGGGATCGAACGAGAACCGGTGCTTTCAGCGTGATATNATTTCACTCCCGATGTCAGGGATTACCTATTCTTTAACCCCTGTTCCCCAGATGTTCTCGATTTGTTTGCCGTAGACATCGCCCGAGCGAGGGATCACTCGATCGCACCCTATATTTATTACGTCGAGTATTGCACCGGAAAACAGATTAAGTCTTGGGATGATTTGCTGTCTTTAATCCCAACTGAAATCCTCGATAAATTGAAAACAGCCTATAAGTCATTATTAAAAAAATTAATATAATATACATTTTACTTAATTAATAATATTAATGATTTTCATAGAGATTATAAGGACATTGAGTTAATAGTGGGAGGTTTGGCCGAAACACATATGAATGGGTCGACAGTTGGGCCAACCTTTGCCTGTATTATAGCCATACAGTTCTTTCACTTGAAGTTTGGTGATAGACTATACTTTGAGCACTATGGACAAGCTGGATCATTTACGAAAAGTATGTACTTTTTATTTAACTGCATTTTGTTATTCAGATATTAATATATTTTTAGATCAATTACGAGACATAAAGCGTCGGTCATCGTTGGCTAACTTGTTGTGTAAAACGACTGATTTCAACACAATCCAAAAGAATCCGTTTTATATTCCGTGCGATAATAACCCAAGAATTTGTTGCAAACAGTTTCAAGACTTTGATTATAACCTGTTCCGTGAATCTCAGAAATAGCAATCTAGCATATTTTATCAATTTTACAAAAGTTTGTTAATGCTGTCAACCAAACGTAAACTTTATGTTGTTTTACTAGTATCAAATAAAATATAAATAGTTTTAACTTAATAATATTAAAAATTATATTTTACAAATTATATGATTATAGCTTAAAAAGGATCTTGCAAAATTTATTTATTAAAATATTGCATTATATTAATAAAACTAACTTGTGAGCATAATAAAATCATATAAAATTAATTTAATTAAAAATCTAAGTGAAAACGTTTCAGTACTAGGATGCAACACATTAACATCATATGTTTATAACAAGGAATATAACGAATATAAGTAAGCTATACATAATTTTAACCAGTATATTTGATAATAAATATTGTATTATTAATTTAATTATACAGAAGTGCATTAATTAGTACAGATATCAGATAAGATTTACAATCATGGACTGAACTGTAAGGAGATAATAACTTCCTAAATATCCGGTTCATCTCATCTAAGGTTATAAAAATTTAATTGTTTTTTGGCACAATATTATAGTTTGAAAGTATATAAATGCCACAGAATTCATGCATAAATCCATACAACAAATTGAATACATCTTAACAAATTATTTGTTAGCTTTTATTCAAAAAACATGAAATATTTAGCACTCATATTAGTGTTGACCCTATGGTTAGCTGACACCAACGCTGAGAAACTACACGTTTCAGTGAACCGACATTCTGGTGGTCGTATAGTTGGTGGTGTCGATGCCACGGCTGACCAAGCACCATTTCAAGTTGCACTGCAATCATCGGGTTGGTTTGGTTGGGGGCACAGATGCGGTGGTTCACTGGTTGGCACCCAATCGGTAGTAACTGCCGCCCATTGCACTGAAGGGTATGTCGTTTGTAATTATATTTTATAAAAATATTTCTAATTATAAGTTCACTTAAAGCTTGACAGCGAGTGAACTGAGAGTACAGTACGGAGGTCTG